GATGTTTTCGGCACCAAATCGCATATTTCCCGATAAAATATGGCAGATGGAAGTAAATAACGTCTACAAAGGTGATATTTCACAGTAATAAAGAAGTATTTGGTTCATAACTGGGTCGTATGGGGTAGTATTGGGTGGTATTGGGTAGTATTGGGTAGTATTGGGTGGTATTGGGTAGTATTGGGTGGTATTGGGTAGTATTGGGTAATTAGACGCGCCGCCCATGTGCAACACGTTGGGTGGCAAATGATATCAATTTTGACACGTTTGTGGAGGATATCCGTGGCTGATTTTCGGTGTCATCATAAGAAAATGAGCACGTTTGTGTCTGTTATCAATCCAGTTACAGGAAAAACTGACTGGCGCCTGCAGAATGACGATTATGACTTCCATCAAGAAATTGCAAGGTAAAAAAAGCCAGCGTGCCAGATCAACTGCAGATAGATTTGTATGTGACGTGCTGTATGAGAGTTTGATTTGGTTTCAACAAATTTTATTGTATTTACAAAAGGATGAGACAACAGGCAGTGCCTATATTAGTCTTCTCCTGAAACGGTACAACTGAACATATATACATTTACAAAGAATAATAAGATACATTTACAAAATTATCGATAATTAATTACGTATTGAAATAGATGGACATTTATATGGAAAATATGTTTATATGTTTGAATTAATGATATGCCTGAATGTATAAACTACACACACTAATAACAAGGCTAACACTTCTACCAGTGGCGTAGATGACTAGTTCATGTTCGATGTACCATGGTACAAGTACAAGTACTGCGTCACTGGCAACATACATACTTCTAAACACACCCACACACATTCACAGAGCAGATTGATATAACGGGAAGTATTAAATAAAAATATACTAATCAAATTCGAGTTTGGTGAATCTATTAGTTAAATCAATAAATTTCTCAACTTTAGATAATATATAATTATTAGTTTCTGGTGATAGCTCATTATCTACTGATGTAAGCAATTTCAGACTAATAAATCCTACTACATTATATATTTCATAAAAATCCTGTCTGAAATCAGAATAATTAGGAAAAAAAAAAGAAAAAATGATCAGCATCTTCGTGCAGTGCTCCACAAGAACAACTGCCATCTTGAATAAGGTGATCAGTAAATTTATCAAAGTTCAAGTCACTTGCTTTATGCCTGATTTGACAAAGTATTATATTAAAATTCCTAGGATTGCACTGTTTAAAGATCTGGGAAATATTATCTACTTGATTATTAAAATAGTTTTTAAGTTTGTATTTGAACGAAGTAAGGGAAATAGCAGATGTCATAGAAGAATCTAATTAGTTCCATAAGTTCATTGTGTCAGGAAAGAAACTAGTGTTGTAAATATGAGTTCTAGCTTGAGGTACATTAAAGAATCTAGTATTCCTCAATCCATATGGGTTATTAGCATTATTAATAAAAGGTACAATAATATTATAAAGATAGTCAGGTGTTAAGCAGTTTATTATCTTATACATTAGAATTAATTTATGTTTATGACGTCTTAAACTTAAAGTTTCCATATTTACCTCAAGGTATAGTTTACGATGAGATGTTCCACTTCTTAACCCCAATATAATTTTCATAGCTTCAATTTGAACAGATTCAAGCATATTAGATTCTCCAATGGTACAGTTATTCCAGATAACATCACCATACTCAAGCACAGGTCTTATATTAGAATAAAATAATGTTTCCATTGATTTTCTATCAATTTTATATTGAAGCATTCTCAATATGTTTAGTCTAATACAAGCTTTATTAAAAATATCATGAATATGATCCCCCCATGTACCTTTGGAATTAAAAAGTAACCCTAAATGTTTATGACTTATTTTGTCAGGTAAAAAATTATTATTAAAGAAAAGAGGGGGTGCTTTCTATTCCTTCTAGACACTGTTAGTTCTATGGTTTTATTGGGATTGAATTTAATTTTCCACTTGTTTGCCCATTCGTTAACAGAATCTAGATCTTCATTCAGTGCAATACAAGGAGCGATCATGTCGTCTTCAACAATTAAAAAAAGTGAGGTATCATCAGCAAACAGCTTTATATTTGTACTTATCTCATGGGTTATGTAATTTATAAAAAGAAGAAAAAGAAAAGGACCAAGAACTGAATCTTGTGGAACACCTGCATAGATGGACTGATAGCTAGAGCTGTACCCTTCAAATAACACCCGTTGTTTTCTGTCTGATAAATAATTTTCAAACCAATTAAAAAGATTTCCACAGAGTCCATATTTTTTTGATTTATACAATAATCCCTTATGCCAAACTCTATCAAATGCTTTGCTAATATCACAGAAAACCAATCTAATATCTTTACCTTGATCTAAGTTTTTGATTATTTTATCATATATAGATAATAGTTGATTGACTGTTGAGTCCTTGGGTTGGAAACCAGATTGATGGTTACTAATTATGTGATGTTTAGTTACATGGTTAAATACATATTTAAATACAATTTTATCTAAGATCTTAATAAAACATGAAGTAATATCTATTGGTCTATAGTTATTAGGGTCTTCCATGGAGCCTTTACCTTTGTACAGTGCATTAACATCAGCAGATTTCCATATTAGTGGAATTCTACCTTGTGAAATAGTTTTTTTGAAAAGAATTTTTAGAGGTAATATCAGCGAGGGTAATAGATTTTTTTATTAATTTAGGTGCAATATTATCAGGTCCTGGGGGTTTATTAACATTAATTAATTCTATCTGGTCCTGAACATCTTGATCAGTTATATTATGATATTGTCAAATTTAAGATGACTAAGGGGAGGTAAGTCAAATTCATGGTTTGAAAGTATTGATATCATCTGTGACAGAATTAGATATATAGACGAAAAAAAGTTATTCAAAGCTTCAGCTTTATCAAGTGGATGAATTAAAATATTAATACCTACTTTTAGAGGAGGTGAGGATTTACTTTTATTGGAAAGGTTACTTATAGATTTAGCTATACGCCACCATTTACCAGGAGGAATTGATTTATCAGATAAGGAATTTTGAAGTTCTTTTAAATAATTAACTTTAGCTGTTCTTATGAAATCTATACAATTATTACATGCTAGTCTAAATTTATACCAATCATTCTCTTTGTTACTATTAACTGCAATTTTATGAAGACGATTTTTTATTCCTAAGATTAGTACAAATCAAATGTGTCATCCACGGTTTATCATTAGGTCTTATTCTTATAATTTTTTTAGGAATATGAATTTCAGCTTGGGTTGATATTTTATCCATCAGTATGCTGTTAAAATCATCGACATTATCATTGTTAGCAATTACTGTTTCCCAATCAACAGATAGTAGATTTGAATTAATTTCATCCCAGTTAGCTTCATCAAATTTTGTATAATGTATGTTTAAATGACTTTTCTTTTAATACTTTAAAAGACAAGTTTAAAATTATTGGACAGTGGTCACTACAGAGTGGAGAGAGAACTTCAGTATTTTGTACTATACCTATGTTATTAATATAAAACACATCAATACTGGTAGAAGAAGTATTAGTTGTCCTAGTAGGAGATTTAATTAGATTAATTAATTGAAACTTTGTTAAGGTTTTGGCAAGATGTGAATTATTAGGTAAAAGTAGCATATCCTGATTTATGTCACCCGTAATTATTACATTAGAGTTAGCATCCACAAGATTTTCAATTAGGTTGTCAAATTTTGACCAATACTGTACTAGAGAGTTTGGTGGTCTATATAAACAGCAAAGTAAAAAAAATGTTTGATGTGGTAATTTCCAGCACCGTATTTTCCATATTAATAATGAGAGTTTGATTTGGTTTAAGTTATGGCTTCCTATCTAGTCTATCTTTTTGGAAGTTTATATTATTTAGTGTAGCCAGTTGGTGAGGAAACTACTGACACAGGTTACATGTATACAAAATGTACTGCTTATATTCGGTTCTTGTATTCCATGACACCTCTTGTGGAAGGCCTTTTGTTGGAAGCTCAACAGAACAATCAATATAATTAAGAAGACACCATACCTCCTCTTACTACTTCATTTGCTGAATAAATTTCCCTTGAAGATATATACATGACTCATAAAAAACATAAAGATATATACACGACTCATAAAAAAAACATAAAGATATATACACGACTAATAAAAAACATAGATATATACACGACTCATAAAAAACATAAAGATATATACATGACTCATAAAAAACATAAAGATATATACACGACTCATAAAAAAACCATAAAGATATATACACGACTCATAAAAAACATAGATATATACACGACTCATAAAAAACATAAAGATATATACACGACTCGTAAAAAACACAAAGATATATACACGACTCATAAAAAACATAAAACAAATCCTTGATATCAGTGTTTGATAAGAGTTTTTTCTTTCCCGTGAACTAGAGTGTACTATATATCACATAATATGTGCCATACATACTGTATGCCTTTATTATTATTGCTGAACTTATTACCTTGTATGCTCATGTGGCAGGTTCATATTGTACCTGTATATGATTTATGGATGCCTTCTTGCATGGTCACATGTATATGGTGGACTGGGAAGTTGGTGTCGCTTTAATATTTGATTGATCCCTGTTGGAAGCACATTTCTCTCATTCCTGATACAAATGATTTCTGGGGCCTGCTTTGTGGTGATGGAGTTTAATAGAACCAGGGTTGTAGTAAGGTTAAAGGGCAAATACATTAAAAAGGTAGATAATTTTATGTGAAGGGAGCTCTAAATGCTCCACTTCCTATCTGCTCATTCTTGCCAACAAATGATCTAGACTGCCATTATAATGGTTTTTTTTTTTTATACTTTTCATTAAATAAAAGTAGCACCAACAAAATGTATCGTTGAAAGACTCTGATGTGGTCATGTTGACCAAACCTGCTAAAAACTGCATGTACCAATAATTTAAAAAAAACAATCTAAATTTTTGGAATACAATTAGTAAACATTCCTTTTTTGCTTTTACCGCCTTAGAGTAATTTAACAAATTATATAGGGCGCTATATGAATGTTGTATATTATTATTATTAGTAGTAAACCTTTTCAGGAAAGGAACCAGTCGACATTGTAAAATGGTGATGCTAAGTGACGTTGGCACTTTTTACATTTTGAAAATTACTATTTAAAGATCTGATCACAACATTTAATGCTTTATAAGTAAAACATAGCCAGTCACACATTAAAGATAATATCAAGATGTGGGCCCAACATTTTGAGAGAAATGTACAGTTCAAGGATTTGGGGTTTGGGAGGGGGAATTTCAGTAATTTTAAATTAAGATTTGGGTAGGGAATTAATAGTCCATATTTCCTAGAAACTGCTGCACATACTTATATCTTATCTAACATTACAGCACACATTATAATTCATATGTTGTGATTATGTACCTTGCCAGTAAATATTGTTCATTTTGTAATTTTGCATCAAATATAAAAATTATTTTTGTTTGCTTTTTTCAGGTCGGCGTATGCTGATATGTTACATGATACAGAAAGGGTAGGTCCTGGAAAAAATATTAAAGTCTATTTTCCTGATTCAAAAAAGATATAAAGTTTTAGATCAAAATTTGCCTGAAATAACATCCAATTGATAATGTTTTGTTCAGGTAATGTAGTATAAAAAATTAAACCAAATTGGACTGATTCCCTGCAGATTGCAGTAATTTTCAGCCACTTTTCATATGAGAATACTGTTTGGAATTGGTTGGTAAAGGTATATTTTCTGCATAGAATGGAAAATATTGGAAACTCAAATGAATCCATGACATGAATAATTACTGAATAATTGATTTGGAGTTGAGATGTCACCCCATTGTATCAATATATGAAAGTAGAAATGATGAGCAACAACACCACTGAATCCGGTACAAAATGTAATGTTTGATTTACATCCGACGTGCTGACATGTTTCGGCCAAAGGGAGGCCATCTTCAGAGCACAGTTACATGATGAACTGTGATGTCATCAAGTTGCTAAGAGTTACAGCCTAAAAGGGTTAAAAGGTTTAGCCATTTTTGATTGGTGCATAATAGAATAAGTGCTAAATAATTTCAGTATGATTATAGATTATATAAAAGTATCATAGTAAATGTGAATGTAAGAGTTGTGGTATTAAAGTATTTACAATGCAAGAGATGATTAAAGGAACAGAAATAAGGGATAGTAAACATAAAACTAAATGTATAAAAAGGGCTCAAACAAGCAAAACTCTAAGGTTATTGTTCTGTCTCTTATGGAATGGACATTGTAATAGAAAGAATATTAAACATTATTAAATTGTCAGAACTGTTGTAAATAGGGTATAAGTCAATAAGCATGTGAGAAGTTCTAAAATGTTCGATTAGGATAAGCCCCAAAGAAGAAAAGGTCCTAATGCATCAGTGAGTTCTGTAGGGTAATCCTGTGTCATCAGTGATAAGAAGATCAAGTTGTATAGAGGGTTGGTACAGTACAGTCTGTGGTAGTTGTGTTCTGAGGCTGGCAACAATATGTTGTGTGACGTCCATACTACAAAGTGTTGGATACATTCTCAACGTTTATAGTCATTAGTCTGTGAGGCTCACATCTGCTGAAACTTCTTTTATGGGTAATGTTGTTCTTCTGTTCAAATGTATTGTGCATACAATAGTGTTGTTATGGGTTGATGAATCAAGGTCTGTGAGGTATAGTTTCATCTTGGTAATGATATTAAAATCTCCAAACCATCAGCAGCATAAGTGTAGTTTAGCAATTGGGCAGGTATACCATACATTGTTTGTAAGTTCATATACACAGGGTTGTGTCGTTTCCATCTGTAGCTTTGTCAATATTTAATATTTATCAATATATGTTTAAGAATTTAATGTTGCTGTTACTAAGTCCCTTATGTAATGATCTTCAATCATGCATGAAAAGTATAAATGTACCCCTATTTTGTGCAGTAAGTCTTATTTGATACATGTACAGTATCTATACACTTATTGACTGATGTCTGGTCTGTATGTCTCAGAATCAAAAGTACTATGCTGCATTGCGTCGGGCTGTAGGGATCCTGCGTGGACGAGGAGAGAGGGTTCATGTCCTTGATATTGGCACAGGAACAGGACTTTTGTCCATGATGGCCGCCACCTTAGGAGCTGACCAGGTTACTGCATGTGAGGTGAGTAGGTCAGAGACTCAATGAGGCGTGGCTAAGATAGGATCTGTGACTGATGGAGGAAGGCAAAACATCAACAAAGAGCCTAGTTACGTTCTATTCTTACAAGGCTCAACAATATTGTTGCATATCTGACAAAAAAAATCCTTCACTGATAACATACATGCTTTCAGGGGGTGGCAGCCTGTCGTAAAGGTTGTCCATCACTCTGTTGATAGATACTCAAAGTTGCTATGGTTCAGCCCTTGCCAGTAAAAACAGCGACTTACTGAAAATCACAACAGAAATGTTTTAATTGTTATTCCAATGATTTTTTAAATGTTTCAAAAAACTCAGGTTCAATTGTGCTTTTAAGCACATCAAAACTAAAACAGAGAGGCCTCAAATGAGACCAAACATTAAAATACGAGTAAGATTTTCTCACTTATATGTTTACCTCATACATAACAATACATTTTGATAAATGTTGTTGTTCAACAGGCCTTCTCTCCTATGGCAGAATGTGCCAGGAAGGGGATCCAACAAAATGGCTTTGCTGATAAGATAAAGTTGATACCGAAACGATCTACCGAGATCGTGGTGGGAAAAGGTCAGTATGCTGTACACCCTGTAGTCAGTGATACAAGATTTATGGAACAGTATAGGGTCTTATTTTGTTAGATGACAGACTGACATAATATTGTTATTTATACTTTAGTGGTACCATTTTCAATCTGAAATGAGGATTAACATTCCAAACTATTTTTTACACACAGTAGGTCTTAAAATAGTGCTAAAACAGTACCTAAGGTTAATCCATACAAACTTGAAATGTTATCACTCAATCTTTATAGAATATACAAACTTGAAATATTATCACTCAATCTTTATAGAATATACAAACTTGAATATTCTTAATTTACATTTATTTAATTGAAACCCCACAGTAGATATATTTTAGTTTTTAACATTTTACTAAATCCACTTATTATGAATTGAAAATTGATTCAAAAATGCAAAAAATCTATTGAAAATGGTCATTCCAGTAATATAACAGAATATTCATTGGTTTAAATGAAAGAATGGCAGTCTGTGACTCAATATGTCTGGCTTTTTCAAAGTGATAGCATGTTGAAGTCTGCAGTTAAAACTGAAAACACAGTTGCTATAAACATATTTACCAGGGTATTAGAACCAACATTAAATGTATGGCTATTGAAAGAAAACATACCAAGATTTATACTTGTTATGGTTCCTCCAGATTAAACAAATTTCAAAGTGCTGTTAACTCGCCGATGGGATTGTTACATTTGATCACATGACGACAACAATTGAATTATTATACAACTATGATTTTACAATGAGAAAAGTATTAGTACTATATCTACCTTTATCACAGATGGAGATATGGATTCACGTGCAAACATCTTGATCACCGAGGTGTTTGATACTGAACTGATCGGAGAGGGAGGAATAGGTACATTCACACACGCCCACAGAGAACTCCTACAGGTATGACTTACAGTAAAGACAAGACACAAGGGGAAAGAACTCTTTAAATATGACTGACATGGAAGATGAGACACATGGGGAGAGAACTCTTAAAGGTATGACTGACAGAGAAAGACAGGACACATGGGGAGGGAACTCTTAAGGAATGGCTGACAGAGAAAGACAGGACACATGGGGAGGGAACTCTTAAGGTATGGCTGACACGGAAATTCCAGACGCATGGGGAGAGAACTCTACAACTCTTAAAATGTAGTTTCTATTGATGTTCGGAGTCGAACCATACCTACCAGCATACTGGGGTTCAAATACTGTCAAATGCTATAGACATCAAAGAGGGTCAGGGTTGCTGTAGACTTCAAGGGCTACTATGTATTAATCTTGACCTTATGGTCTATCAGGTCTACTGAATATTACTCTTGACCTCACAGCTAAAGAGGGCTGCTATATATTTCTCTGGACCTCTGGGGCTACTATATATTGCTCTAGACATCAAGGCTGACCAGAACTGCTATATATTACTCAGGACCACATAACTGATGTGTATATCATGAGATTATACTGTCTGTTTACATTACAGAATGACTGTATCGTGGTGCCGTCTGTAGCTAACATGTATGTACAGCCTGTTAGATCAGATATGGTCCGCAGATGGCGGGACATTCAGCCAATCAGAATCCAAGGATGTGATGACATCGCCCCTCCAGATGAACTGACGAAATGTGGAGGAGCTCCATCTTTACATGACCTTCAAATGGACCAGATCCCACGAGACCAATTTGAGACCGTCTCGGATCCAATCAGAGTATTCAGGTCTGTTGAGTAAAAGGTTATATCTACATGATGTATATTTATTTTAAAGGAGCTGGTCGGGGAAAAAATTACAAAATAAATGGGTCTAAATGCGTTCTCTGGCCTTCCAAAAGTTATACCACGGCAATATGATGGTCGAGTTCTGCTTGCAATGTCCAGTTTTGACCACTGTAATCTTGGGGAAGCCCAGAGTAAATTTAGCGCAGATCTATTTATATATGTCACATGGTTTTTTCGAAAGTGAGGCAGTGAAGATAACAACAAAAGCACACCGTCATGTGCCATGTCGGACTCAACTAGCGGACAAGACAGCAATACTATATGTAAATAATTGTTTTCAAAGGTCATGTATGATGCAAGTGTAGTATTCCTACCTATATGTTGTTGTTGTTATATATAACGGTATTGATACATCGAGCCTGTCATGACTTTTGCATGCATCTTTTTCTTTCGCCGCGATGTTTACATTTGGCCTTGTTGATGACGCGTGTGCGGTAAAATTACATCACTGATCTGGGTCAATTGAGAGTTTTAGACTGTCAGGTGACGATTTCGGATTTCTTTAATATAATTATTATTTTTACTCTTAGGGAGTGAATTTCAGCAAAATTTGTATCGGTAGATTTCTTAAGAAAGTATTTTAAACATGTGTATGCCATTTTAGCAAATATGACATTTTTCCCCGACCAGCCCCTTTAAGCACTTTTGTTCAGAAGACATGTTTTTAGACTGTGGTGTATAAACATAATTTGCCAATGTCAATATGATGAAAGATTTTATGGGACCTTTGTGTATATTTAAACGGACAAGAATTATCAAGATTAGGAATGTACCATAGTCATAATAGGAGTTTTTGTCTGAAGAATAAACCAAACTGAAGTTCTTTAGGCATGAAATGTTCATCCTGTAATTGTGTTACTACAGGTTTGACTTCAGTGGCAAGACACCTCTACCTTTTGAAAATCAGTCCCAGAATGTGATCAAGTCTCAGACAAGTGGACAGGTCGATGGTGTGTTTATGTGGTGGGACCTCGAGATGGACACCCAGGGGGAGATAATCCTTAGCTGTGCACCTAGCTGGGCGCATCCCAAGATTGAAGAATTACAGGTATGAGCGTTTGTAGTATTGATATAAGGAATGCATTCTTACCTCTTGTTAGGAAGATGTTACAGGACATTGAGCACATATATTTATAACCATTGAACTAAATTGAGGGGATAATAAATGTTTGCCCTTTCTGTCAGTCCATCCATTCTTCTGTAAGTACAACATCTGCAACAGTCAATCAAAATTCCTATGTGGACACATCTTGACAAGTAATACACCAATATAACAAATGTAGGTCGCCGTGACCTATATTTTCTGCTTCACTGACAGTGAATTTTGTTAGACATTGTGTTAAGTTATATTTTTGATCAAAACTTTATGTTTAGCTTCATATTCATTCAGTGTAGGACTGGGGTAAATGTACTTATATTTTTTTCAAAAGTTACATTCTGATGACTTGAATATATAGGTGATACCATGAAGTTCAGCTAACGTTTATAATATAAGTTTAATGTGTAATGATACATGCTGCCACTACATGGACTCGACAGTAAGAAAATCTTCAAAGACATTGATACCAGGTTTTATTGTATTACATCAATAGTTAGACCATTAGAGAGTACTATTTTAGACCATTTTCTTCAGTGCTGTAAAGGTTACTGTTGTAAGTTGTAGTTCATTAAATATATGTACTTGATTTATGTTCTTAGGGCCATAAAGGGGACTTTGCACACAGAAATTGGCTTTTTCTGAGACCTCTTGATTCAGCATTTCTTGTTTATAGTATTGATGCTGTTAGGTCCCCACCCCCCCATATTTTTTAAATTTTTAGTGTACAAGGTATTTCTATAATTTATTTTTTTAGTGGAGAGATCATTGGATGCAGGCAATTTACTATCCCAGCATTCCTCTAGAGGTCAACAAAGGGGAAGAGGTCAAGGTCATAAGTTACCATGACGAGTACAGTCTCTGGTTTGAAGTTGCCAAAGGATCAAGGTGAGTTACCTGTTTTTAGCTCGCCTGCCCAAAGGGCAAGTGAGCTTAGCCATGGCGCAGCGTCAGTCCTCCGTCCATTAACTTTTCCTTTAAAACGCTACTTGTCCTGAACGGCCCAGTAGATTTTGACTGAATTTGGTCTGGAGCATCCTTAGGCCAAGGGGACTCAATGTTGTATAAACAGTGGGTGTGGACTCACTAAGAGCAGAGGAGTGGGGCCCAATAGGGGAAATTGAGATAAAACCTTTTAAATCCTTTTTCTACCCTAGGAATTAAGGGATTTTATCCTAATTTGATCTGGAGCATCCTTGGGCCAAAGAGACTCAATGTTGTATAAACGGTGAGTGTGCCCCCCCCCCCCCCCCCCCCTTTGGGGCAGAGGAGGGGGCCCAATATGGGAAATTGAGGTAAAACCTTTAAAATCCTTCTTCTACCAAAGTGATTAAGGGATTTTATCCTAATTTGGTCTGGAGCATCCTTAGATCAAAGGGACTCAATTTTGTATAATTGGTTGGTTTGGACCTCCTGGGGCTCAATAGTGGAAATAGAGGTAAAAATCTTTGAAATCCTTCTTCTACCATAGGGATTAAGGGAATTCATCCCAAATTGGTCTGGAGCATCCTTGGGCCAAGGGGACTCAATCTAGTATAAGCAGTTGGTGTAGCCCCCCCTAGGGGCAGGGCCGAATAAGGGAAATAGAGGTAAATCTTTAAAATCCTGCTTCTACCATAGGGATAAAGGGATTTTATCCTAATTTGGTATGGAGCATCCTTCCGCCAAGTGGACTTGATTTTGTATAAAGGGTAGGTGTTGCCCACCTGGGGGCAGAGAGGTTGGGCCCAATAGGGGAAATAGAGGTAAAAACCTTTGAATTCCTTCTTCTACAATAGGAATTAAGGGATTTCGTCCTAATTTTGTTTGGAGTATGCTTGGGCCAAGGGGACTCAGTTTTGTATAAGTGGTTGGTTTGGACTCACCCTGGGCAGAGTTGCAGGGTCCAATAGGGGAAATAGAGGTAAAAAGCTTTGAAATCCTTCTTCTACCATAGGAATTAAGGGATTTTATCCCAATTTAGCCTGGAGTATCCTTGGGCAAAGGGGACTACATTTTGTATAAACAAAGGGTGAGGACCCTCTGGGTGCTGAGAGTTTCGGGGCCCATTAGGGAAATTTGAGGTTTCAATCTTTGAAACCTTTCTTTTTCTCCATTAGAGGGATTTTATGTAATAAGAATAATTTCCCATGGTTGCTTTATTATCCAGGTGAGCGATACAGGCCCTCTGGGCCTCTTGTTAAAATACACAGGACAATTTTAATTCTTCTTGAAAAACTGTTATTGAAACTGGCACTTGAGAGAAACACGTATTAATTCAGAGGTTAAACAAGCATCACCTGGTTACCATGTCCACTTTGATGAATACTTGAAGGATTTTTAAACACAATGGTTTGAATAATTTGTACGATATTCTATTAATATAGTGAAAAAGAAGATTGTCATAAAGAGGGAGGACCTGTATGCAGCTGTGGGGCTCACATCTGTTTCAGTAGGAGTCGAATTGGAATGATGAATGATCCAATCAGGAGACAGATATACCAGAAAGTCCTCCAACAAGTAGGTACCTATAGCTACACCGATACCTATAGCTACACCGATACCTATAGCTATGTATAGGTAGCATTGCCTTGATTTAAAGCCTTTGTATCTTTAAGTCATCATGTTATTGCTTCAAAAACGTATGAAGTTTAATGCTGTAAATATAGATTTTGCATCAGATTGATCAGTCATCTGCATAGTATTTTATATTTAGGGTACAGATCCCTGTCTGTGATATAAAATTTATAAAATGTACATTTGTATATTTTACTTTTATTCAAACATATATTACCCCATTAACTTTGTTTCAAAATTGTTTTGTAGAATGTCACCAGTGACACAACCTGCTTGTGTTTAGGGGATGGAAACATCATGGCACTGGTGGCCGCCAGACTTGGGTGTAAACAGGTACAGACGTAGGGCTAACATTAATGGTGCAGAATGACCAGCAGGCTCTAGTGAAAAATAAGTTCTCAAGTCCATCTAAAAAATATTCTGTTCTGGTTTGATTTCTAGAATAATACAGTCCAACCCTGTAGATCTATTTAAAACAATATTCCTATAAATAACCAGTATCTACTTTACATAACATTCTAAAACATGTAATAGAATTCAAGTTTTAAATTAGTGTATCAGTACATTATACTCTACTATCAATCGACCTCTATGGTAACCACACTGGTTACAGATGGCACCACTCAACCTTGTTAGATATAGAACATCCCTGTTCTCCTACACTAGAACATCCCTGTTCTAGGCAGTGGTGCCATCCCCTTATTTCGTAGAACATCCCTGTTCTAGTCGGTTGATCGTGGAAGGTCTGTTTCATAATTTTATAAGTCTTTTTACTAACATGGACAGACCTACTCTACTCTACAAGTCCATACAGAAGAAGCTGAGAAATAATTCCCAAGGGCCAAAATTATTTTGTAACATTTGTGTTAATATGTCATGATTATTTTGTTACACCTGTTGAATGTACAATAGTTAGTTGGTATTCTTGATCTATGTTTTTAATATTCATTTTAAGAATCATGTTGATTCTTATATACCATACTTCATAGAGGATACATTTCATGTTCTAAGTTCTTGTTTATCTGATCCCTATAATAAATGTTCATAACTTCATATCCTTCATATCTGAGTTGTATTATCCTTTCTGGAGTAACTTGGTCTAAAGCTGCATTTTTAGCTACAAACTTGTACACAAGATATAAACAAGATATTTAATCTGGTTGTTGATAAGACTGTCCAATTTTCCTTCCAGATAGGTGTTCACTATTATATTTTCTGACCTCCCTGTGTGTTGACTAATGTTAATGACTTTTGACCCTCACTGTAGATGTTGAGTGTTGTAAATGACCTTGTCTTCTCCTGTAGGTGTTTTCAGTGGAGACAAACCCCAGTACAAGAAAGGTAATGCAGTCCTTTATCAGGAAGAATGGTCTGGAAGGGGTGATCACTGTGCTAACCAAGGACCCAGAGACTCTCACACCTACAGACTTTGGAGACCGTAAGGTACTGCACTAAATACGACGGATATGTCGTATACTGTGAAGTTATCAAAAGCACTGGGTTGACCTTGTAGTAGGAGAGCCATACTTTAATAACATGTATTAATGTTCCAGGTTGACCCTGTGGTAGGGGAGCCATACTTTAATACCAAGTGTTACTGTTTCAGTTTGACCTTGTGGTAGGGGAGCCATACTTTATAACCCTGTGTTACTGTTCCAGTTTGACCTTGTGGTAGGGGAGCCGTACTTTAATACCAAGTGTTACTGTTTCAGGTTGACCTTGGGGTAGGGGAGCCATACTTTATAACCCTGTGTTACTGTTCCAGGTTGACCTTGTGGTAGGGGCGCCATACTTTATAACCCTGTGTTACTGTTCCAGGTTAACCTTTTGGTAGGAGAACCATACTTTAATACCCTGTGTTACTGTTTCAGGTTGACCTTGGGGTAGGGGAGCCATACTTTATAACCCTGTGTTACTGTTCCAGTTTGACCTTGTGGTAGGGGAGCCATACTTTATAAACATGTGTTACTGTTCCAGGTTGACCTTGTGGTAGGGGAGCCATCCTTTATAACCCTGTGTTACTGTTCCAGGTTGACCTTGTCGTAGGGGAGCCATACTTTATAACCCTGTGTTACTGTTCCAGTTTGACCTTGTGGTAGGGGAGCCATACTTTATAAACATGTGTTACTGTTCCAGGTTGACCTTGTGGTAGGGGCGCCATACTTTATAACCCTGTGTTACTGTTCCAGGTTGACCTTGTGGTGGGGGAGCCATACTTTATAACCCTGTGTTACTGTTCCAGTTTGACCTTGTGGTAGGGGGGCCATACTTTAATACCAAGTGTTACTGTTTCAGTTTGACCTTGTGGTAGGGGAGCCATACTTTATAAACATGTGTTACTGTTCCAGGTTGACCTTGTGGTAGGGGAGCCATACTTTATAAACATGTGTTACTGTTCCAGGTTGACCTTGTGGTAGGGGAGCCATCCTTTATAACCCTGTGTTACTGTTCCAGGTTGACCTTGTGGTGGGGGAGCCATACTTTATAACCCTGTGTTACTGTTCCAGGTTGACCTTGTGGTAGGGGAGCCATACTTTATAAACATGTGTTACTGTTCCAGGTTGACCTTGTGGTAGGGGCGCCATACTTTATAACCCTGTGTTACTGTTCCAGGTTAACCTTTTGGTAGGAGAGCCATACTTTAAACCCCTGTGTTACTGTTTCAGGTTGACCTTGTGGTAGGGGAGCCATACTTTATAACCATGTGTTACTGTTTCAGTTTGACCTTGGGGTAGGGGAGCCATACTTTATAACCCTGTGTTACTGTTTCAGATTGCCCTTGTGGTAGGGGAGCCATACTTTAAAACCCTGTGTTACTGTTCCAGTTTGACCTTGTGGTAGGGGAGCCGTACTTTAATACCAAGTGTTACTGTTTCAGGTTGACCTTGGGGTAGGGGAGCCATACTTTATAACCCTGTGTTACTGTTCCAGGTTAACCTTTTGGTAGGAGAACCATACTTTAATACCCTGTGTTACTGTTTCAGGTTGACCTTGTGGTAGGGGAGCCATACTTTCAGAGCTCTGTGTTACCTTGGCACAACATTTCTCATTGGTACTCTATAGAACAGCTATCTAGTGTGTTGGCTGATGAGGCAAAGATATTCCCTGCTGGAATGATGATAAAAGCAATGGCCGTCGAGTTTACGGACCTCTGGAAGATACGGGCCCCAGTTGGAGTTTGTGAGGGATTCAATCTTCAAGTATTTGATGATTTGATAGATGTAAGTTATCCAGACAAATAACAAAACTTCAGCAGACAATTCTTTGTCAAAAATGTATCCAAATCACAAATGGTCAATTTTGTAAAATTGCATGTATGGTCAGTAGTAGACATTTTCAGACCATCAACAGAGGCTCCTTGGTCAGCACTAGCTAAACAAATAGTCAAACCTTTCGCATATCATCTTTATTGTCATTATTTATTCGTGTGAACAATGAAAGCATTTAAGGTTCCTCAACCTTCATTTTTTTACGGCAGAGAAAATTATGTGAGTTTGCAAATAAATGAAAATGTTCTTGTAGTTTTCCATTTTAGTATAGTTTTTTGGTTTGACAAAAATAATGCACGGTCGTTGACTGTACAAATCCACAGAAGCACCTTACTATGCCCCATCCCCTCCTCATTTTTTGTACAAGTGGACAAGCGTATTTCTACTCCCTTCCCTTTCTCTTTTCAACACTACATGTATGATATGTATCCGAGTACAGTACATTTCACCTAATATCACGTCTGTTAATGTCACTTTTCGGTTATTATCATGTATTTTTGCACCGTTTTTCCTGCTATATAATCTATGCAATTCAATTCTGTTATTATCACCTGATTTTATGTCGATTTCTCTTAATATCACTTTATTTTGGCCACTGTCACAAAAAAAATACAGGTAAATGGTGGTAATGATCCATGATAAATGCCCTGGGGACCTTCTGTCACACCCTGGACGCATTATGTAAACAATGCCTTGGCCTAACAGGGTATTTTTACACCTGGCTGACTGTCAAACAATAGGTTACACCTGGCTGACTGTTAAACAATAGTTTGACTTACATACTTGTTAACATGATATTCACCTGTGGTTGGGGGAGCTAGGACAGTCTAACATCTGTAAACTTTTCTAATGCCAAGTGTGATGTATAACATGTGTACTGTCTCTAAGAAAATTAACCTATTAAAAGATGTTACTAGCGAAAGAACAGTATATATATCAAGATATAGGTAAATATTTACCAAGTCTCATGTTTACAATTGAATTTGATGCAGAATACCAGCCAAACACTTGTATGCCTACATCACTACTGCAGTAAACAAACATAATTACAATCGTACTGATCGTCATTTTGCTTCTAACTATATGAAATGTAACTGCATACTGAAACGAAATACAAATAATATATTTATTTCTATACTTATTTACTTATATCTATATTTCAACTAGGGTAAAGAACAAGGTTAGTTACAAAATATCAATCTTCTTCGTAGAGCCACATCACTTAGGCATTTGACTAAGTTCACTTCCGGTTTTGAGGGCTGAAAACCATCAGAAAATATGTATTCTGTTTATGTCATGTTTCTGTTAATATCATGTTTTTCTCTGACAAATGGGAAGTGATATTAAGAGAAATCTACTGTATCATATTTTCATCAGTAAAAATTACCTTGTAGTAAAATTTTATCCTAACGACAATACTGTTTGAAAAGAATACTATTTCTGTACGGTACTGTAATTAATTCTAGGAACAAGGTTGGAGATAACATTGATTTTATTATTGATTTTATTGACAGCGGTCTTCAAACGTTGCCGATGAGAATGTAGAACCACAGCCCCTTTGGGAGTACCCCTGTACTGCTCGAAGTGGTATAGTTGACATTTACAACTTCCAGTATACTTCTTCATGGGACAAAACAGCAGTGACTATGACAAAAACACTCAATATAAAAAGGTTTGTATGACATGTGTTCCAGCTGAAGAGCACTTCAGATACCAAACTCACTACATACAGTACAACTCTTCAGCTGCATTTAAATAAAAGGAGAGAAGGTCTTAAAGTGGATAACTAAACCCCAGACAGCTTTCCTGTGATTATAGCCCAGACAGGTTTTCTTTGTTCTGCTTGCTTGGTCATTGGACTAATGTGAGAGGAGAAGTGATATTACCTCCCTTGTCTGGCTGCTCATTGAAAAGAATTATAGAAGATATAGTTCTGAAAACCTGGGTGCTCACTGTGGCCTGCTGTTAAACCTTGATGATTTTCTTCACTTGTATTTGCCTTCAGTAACTGTCTGTATAACGTGTTTTGAACTCTTTACAAATTACTTAATTGATTCAAAATTATTTCTCTTAAAATTCCATCGGACCCTTGAAGAAAGAAATTACGGAAAAACAAGTCAGTCTGTTATTGTTTTAAAGAGTTTTGTATGAATCCTTTGGTATCAAAATTGATTGAAAACGATACAGCAAGTTTCAGCAAGCTAAAGTTGTTAAACTGATAATGAAAGACATTCTGTTTATATTCAGTGAGGGACCCTGCAATGCTGTTGTGCTGTGGGCAGACTTTGACTTTGGCGGGAATTGTGGTGTAAGTACTGGACCAAGAGAAACACCACATGTAGGAAAGGAAGTTAAGTGGGACTTCTACACCCGACAGGGTGTCCATCTTCTAAAACACCCACTGACCTCAGGGAACATAGAGAGGGGAGATAACTCTGTAACACAACGTGCAATACATGTGACATTAAATTTTAAACCAAAACAAGGAGAACTGGAATTTACTTTCAAATCAGAAAGCTGAAGTAATATCTAGGTGTAGCATATATGTTAAAATGTTAAAATATGATTTATAACATCCAATTAATTTTGTGAATGAATCTTTGTTTTTATAACACTCTTAGAATGACAATTAACTTGATATTTAACTTTTGTCTAAGAACAAAATATTTGTTGCAGATGCCACCTAGCTGTAACAAAAATTGTTAGTCCTCAATGTGAAAACCTGAAAACCAGATATCACAAGTTTTGTTTCGCAGATGATTTAATACCATATATGTGTATGGTAGTCCGAATTATTCTGACATTTTATCGACTTTTTTCATATCGGTCTGTCGTCGATTAACATCAGAACTCCGGCCCTCTATAATATGCGGGAAATATGTGACCCGCGCCCGGAGGGCACTTCAAACTGATATTTTAGAAACAAATCGTCACTTTCACACACATGTCGCACATGGATCGAAAGATCTATTCTTTATGCACTAGGTGGTATCAATAACATGTTTCAAAGATCATTACAAAAAGTATTTTCCAACGTTTTCTATACCAACCCATGTTTTTTATGGAAATTAGGCCATGAGAAATGTCACATGACTTGACGAGATCTCGCATTACCGAAGGTATTTCCCAACGTTATGACGTAGGTCGGCGAGATTTTAGTCACGTGGCATTGGAAGGCGGGGCTATCAAAAAACTAGAGTAAAACAGAGTAAGTTTGAAAAAATATGTTTTTAGTGATTGTATTAGTTGTTTGAGGCATGTTATGTATGTTCATCAGTTTAGATTAATAATAGTGTTACAAAGATGTACCGGGGGTATGATACACTGTAATGACATCAGTCATCATATCAAACTTTTATGGTAATTTGAGCCAAATTCTCCTCATTGTCATTAGTTCGTGTCTTTTGTCTCGAACAAGATGTGTTACACTATGTGTGTTACACTATGTGTGTTACACTATGTGTTACACTGTGTGTTACACTATGTGTTACACTATGTGTGTTACACTATGTGTTACACTAACACACTATGTGTTACACTATGTGTTACACTATGTGTTACACTATGTGTGTCATCAATTGTTGTACTTGTCATCGTTTAATTGTATGGCTATATATACCACAGAATTAGATAAGTCTGTGTATATACCAGGGTATACTGCTGAGAGGGACCAAGTTGTGTTGGACCCCAAACCTCTGAATCCAACATATCAGTACAAATCCTCAATACACATAGTAAACTATGCCTTTAATCTTAAACCCTGTGTATTTATTTCAGTTTTGTGGAAAATAAAATATAACACAGATCAAGTTATCTTGTTAATTATTTCATTTGAATTTCTGAACTTTCAAAAGTGACCCATTAGCGCATCTAATACTGGTACATGTACTGAATCAGTCTTTTTAACGCCTATTAATAAAAAACAAATCTACTATCAAGACGAGATTGTTGACTATTAAAACGTCAACCTATTCAACATTTGTGTGACATTTGTGTGACAATTGTGTGACATTTGTGTGACAATTGTGTGACATTTGTGTGACAATTGTGTGACATTTGTGTGACATTTGTGTGACATTTAGCTAATCATTTAAAAAAAAGGGTCGATGATTTATTTTTATTGAACTGAAATAGCATTTACATATTATTAATTCCACTAGGAGCATTTTACTGCACACCTCACCATTAACACCCTACCCCACCTGACCTGAATATTAAATAATGTTTCGACAGATTTGACCCCTCCCCCATATATTGAGTTATCTGGATCATCTGTAATGCAGCCTCTGTAATATGGTAATTAGGGATGACATTTTTATGCCTGTCAATGTTTTTATGGAAAGTAAAAAAAGTATTTTTAGACATAAATTCAGTCCATCCAAAGTATCTATAGATATGGAGAATCAACCAATCAGGTTTTTGCACTGGTGAAGTGTGCAAAACATACAAACATGCATAAAGAGACTGCAACATTTGATACAAACAGAACATGTCATCAGTCACAGTTGGAACATCAATGCTTTTTGTTATGTAGAAATACTATATAGATCTAGCTACATTGGCTTTTACTAAAATAGATCAGTAATTTCACTGAAATGGACACATGACTTTAACCGAAATACTTACATATTGATAGCCACATAATGGCTTCTTCAACTAGTTTGTAATGGGTCCAGGAAAAGGTTTGGTATGTAATGCATGACTTTCGTCTATGGACGTTATGATCAAGTTTGTTACATAAACATTGATAAATAATCGTGATGTTTATTGTCATCATTGGTGGACATTGGAGTGGGTAGTATTGCCCCTCCTCATTTTTTGATAGAGAGAGATTGGGGAGGTTTAATTTGTGTTACTGATTGAAATATCGCTGTCGTATGGTAGCTCTGCATGGAAATTTGATGTGTCCTTGTTATATAGAAAACACTACTCTCAGAATTAAGGTAAATCTGTTTTTTACTTTGTTGACTGGAAAAGTATGACTGGTTCATAGTGAAAAGTTATGATATGATGACATTAAGGTATACACAATACGCTTCTATTTAGCTATGAGCTCTAGAGTTGATTAGAATGTATGTGTATGCATTATTTCTAAAAAACAAGTCATTTGAAGCAGCTATGCAACAACCAGGTTTGAAAAACTCACCTCTATGTATTAACATACATATTGTGTATGACGATGATATTGTAACAGGAGAGGAAAAATGCAGGGCCAGAAATCAGAGTTCGAACCCATGACCCTCCGAACTCTAGACAGACCCTCTACCAATTGAGCTACATATGTACCTGGTTCTCGACAATCGACCCAGTCTTGTTTCGCTACATTCTTTCCTCCTTTAGCAAAGTCTTCGACCCCGAAAACACACGAGACCCTATACCACCTTCTGTGTGTATATTTCGTTTGGTGCCAAATGTAAGGGGAGAGGAAAATGATGGGCCAGATCGGGATTCAAACCCATGACCCTCCGAACTTTAGACGGACGCTCTACAAATTGAGCTACCTGGTCACTGACGATCGACCCCGTCAAGTTCAGCTACAATATATCATTACAGGGCCGTGATTATGCTGGTAAAACAAATGTTGATTCAAAATGTGATTTCCCTATAAAAACATTTCCCTATAAAAACTATAGTAAACTATGGCCCCACCCATCAGCCCCTGGGGGTCAGTCAGGGCTGATATGTGCATACCATCAAACTGCTACCCAATACTGATAATGCTAACCAAGTTTGAATTAATTCGGATGGAAATTAAACAAATGTTTTGTCCAAAATGTGATTCCCGTATTAAAACTATAATAAAGTGTATCCCCTCCCCAGAGGGAAACGTGAGACCCCAGGGTCATGAAATTCACATTTTGGTAAAGCACCTTAAGACCTTTCCATCTATGAAGAGTATTTGATTCTGCCATATCCGGGTCTTGAGAATAAGATTTTTGAAATTTTAGTCAATTTGACCGTTTTTGGCCCCGCTCCTCAGGGGGCTGGGGACCATATATAATTTACAATTTTGGTTGACCTTTGGCCATGGAAGGTTTCTGCAAAATTTCATTGAAATTAGTTCAGGGGTTTTGGAGAAGAAGTCGAAAATGTAAATTGTTTACGGACGCACGACGCCGGACAAAAGGCGATCGCAATAGGTCACTTGAGACTTTGTCTCATGAGGTGACCTACAAATGATACCATTTAGCACGGAAATAAATTCTCTTGGTCCGTTGTTATAGATAGACCTCTAATTGGCAGGCAATTTCAGCAACATACCTCTACTTGGAAGTGAACGGATGGCGCAGTTGATAACGCACTCACCTTTCACCAAGGCGGCTGGGGTTCGATTCCCCGATCGGACGTGGAAAGGTATGAGGGGTCACCCAGGGGCGTTTCTAGGATATTTGAAAGAGGGGGCGTAAAATCAAATTTTTGGACCTTTTTTTGCTGAAAAACATAAAATAATTGTGAAATGCACTAATGTAACGGTTCCTGACTTGGAGCATGTATAATTTATAGTTAAAGTGTCAGGGTTTGACATTTTTTATGCCGAATTCTCTCCATTAATTGTCTATGGTATATTAAAATGGATTGGATGGATGTAGACCAATAACGAGATTCCAAATTCGAAATTTTACGGATCACCCATCGGATGGGGGAATCGGTATAAAAAGAAACCAGAGTATGTGTTTAATTAATGAATATGATAAATTGCCGTATTCAATACAATATTAGCAGATTACGATAGTTTTTTTTTTTTTTTTTGAACGCCCATTACGCCCTCACCCGGACCCGCCCCTGTCACCTGCCCGACCATGTAGATTTTGTCCGTGTACTTCAGTTTCCTCCCACACTAAGATCAGGGTCAATCAGAGTGATTTATAAGCTGAAATAACTTGTTTCATAACTGTTGTAAAATAAATAAAGTTTATAATTATATACTTGGTAGGCAATTTCAGAAAATATGTTTTATAAACATGCAACTTCAAAGATAGATCGGATCCTAGTTTACCAGTAGTAATACGAAAGTTAGAAATGAATGAAATTGAAGTAGACAACATTCTTCTTGACGGGAAACGTTGATTACACGGCAAAAGTGTTCTTAAAATACGTCATACTTTTAACGTATATCAACCGCTCAGTGCAAATATATGAAAATAATTTACACAACTTCGGACTTAACTTTTCTACCAGAAGTCCTTTGGACAGAAAATTTGAGTCTCTAGAAATGACTTTTCTCTAATTATTCACGTTTAATGGGAACAAATAAATTTGTTGTTGTTCATGTTGTGTATAATAACGGAATTAGATTGTTATCTAAGTCCGTGGTATAATAAATATTTTCTGTCAAAGAGTTCATATCACTCTAAACTGTAGTAGTATACAATGTACTATATACTTTTTTAATTGATGAAGTCATACATTATATCAAATTGTTATTTATGTGAATTTGTTTAGGAAACATTTTCATGACCACGTGCTTCACTGAGTGGGACCTCTCTAATCCGGACAACTGGTCAAATTAACGGATTACTCGTACTTATCAGAGACGCTCAACTAGTACTGTCGATGTGTCACTGTTGCTTATCTAGGGTTTACGTTAGCCTTAAAAACGTATCTGAAAGAAGCTTAAAAGGTATTTCAATTATATTTCTATTGAATTTGGAAATCAGTAAACAGCTAATATAAAGTTGGAGAGGGAACATCACATCACGTCCGTTGATATAGCAGTCCGTGATCACATTAACCTGTTCCACAAATCCATCTTCTACCCTTTGACATAGATTATCATTATAAAGCAAAATCAAGCCGAATTTAAAGCATCATGTCATATTCCACGTATGTAGGTTGATTATTTTGTATCCTTTCGTGTCAGTCAAGTGTTTAATTACAATTATCAAATACAATAACTTTTCTTTCAAAATTATATATATATGCAAATAAGGAGACACCCTATGACGTTCGTGTGTTTTCGGGACTTTACTTCATCTACCTGTGTTACCTGCAGTTTCGAATAGATTAGTTTCAGAACGAGGCTCAGGTGTAACAACCTTCACCTTAGACAGAAGAGTCATTGCTGAAGTATTTGAAGCGGGCATCGACTGTCTGAAGACGCTTAGGTAAGTTGTTTACACTGTTAATTACGCCCAATAGAATTATTGGACTCAATGCTGTGAATAATTCACACTTTTGATAAAGCTCCACGAGATCGACGCGTAATACAAAATTACACCTGTGATTCGCACCTGTCCCTACCTTGTTTTTAAATAGACGAAAATGGCCGCCATATTTTGGTTTCGATCATACACGGTTGTTGTAATTATATTGTCATTTGTTATCGTGATGTGTTTTCGTAGGGTTTTCTGCTGGAACAAATAATCGCCCTTAATTGACTTTAGGTTCAGGTGCGATTTTTACAGGTGTTTTGCGTAATTCGTGCATTTTAAACTAGTGTTGTTACAGTATTACTATTAGTCATCCCAAACTTACTTCCGGTAATCTAAAGACATACTACTCTTATCACACAATATATATATCTTTGATATGTACAGTTTGTATAGTATTTTTTTCATGATGATTAATGCATTACCTCTATATATATTTGCTACCTGTCCAGAATTGAAATTAAAAGAATATTTGATAAGATTAGCTGATATAAAAATCACTTTTGGAAATCTAATATACATAAACAACTGTATAAAATGACAGATACTTCTAAACTATGGTAACAAATGTACATGTAAAAGAAATTATATGAGCTTATCCTGGTACTAATTAAATATGAATGTCTGATTACACAGGTTTAACTTCATGAAAACATTAAAGTCATATTACATAGGCTGAACATTTCAAAATTGTCTTGAAAATCTGATATTCGCTTGGTTTACAGAGAAAAAACATCTCTATATGAGCACATAAAGATAAACTTGAACAACAGTACATATAACACAGGTTTTACTTGAGGTCCAATATTTTCAGATTACACAGGTTTTCCCGGACATTAAACATGTATGTTACATTAAGGCCCTAAAAAGTAAAACGGTTGATGGGTCGTAAAACAAATTGCAAAAACAATGTCGCATTACACAGGTTCTTTACTTGAAATAAGATATAAGGTGAGTTTGCCGATCCTTGTTTCAAGCACAGCCACTGGGTGAATGCTTAGCAAGGGGATATCAGAACCTCAGTTGTAAATAGTGATGTCTTCAGGGGCAAAGACTTAGAAAAAAGAGGGAGGAATGTAGCAGAAGTGGACAGGGTCGATCGCCTGCATCCAGGTAGCTCAATTGGTAGAGCGTCTGTCTAGAGTTCGGAGGGTCCCGATTTTGGAATCCCGATCTGGCCGTTGCATTTCTCTTTCTCCTGTTACAATACAGGTTTTAATCGCCATTCTTGTTCCTTGTTCCAGATGTTGACAGTATGATAAGGTTCCTATTACTGGGGGCTGCTCTACTTGGAGTGGGGTATGCCCAAAGTCGACAAACTGTCATAGACAACCAGGTCGGGTACAAGCAGGAAAGAGCACCGTAAGTATTCTACAGTCAAGGAGAAGGATATCAGTAATAAAGTGACTAGTATTCTACAGTCAAGGATATCAGTGATCACGTGACTAGTATTCTACAGTCAAGGAGAAGGATATCAGTGATAAAGTGACTAGTATTCTACAGTCAAGGATATCAGTGATCACATGACTAGTATTCTAGAGTCAAGGATATCAGTGATCACGTGACTAGTATTCTACAGTCAAGGATATCAGTGATCACATGACTAGTATTCTAGAGTCAAGGATATCAGTGATCACGTGACTAGTATTCTACAGTCAAGGATATCAGTGATCACGTGACTAGTATTCTACAGTCAAGGATATCAGTGATCACGTGACTAGTATTCTACAGTCAAGGATATCAGTGATCACGTGACTAGTATTCTACAGTCAAGGATATCAGTGATCACGTGACTAGTATTCTACAGTCAAGGATATCAGTGATCACGTGACTAGTATTCTACAGTCAAGGATATCAGTGATCACGTGACTAGTATTCTACAGTCAAGGATATCAGTGATCACGTGACTAGTATTCTACAGTCAAGGATATCAGTGATCACGTGACTAGTATTCTACAGTCAAGGATATCAGTGATCACGTGACTAGTATTCTACAGTCAAGGATATCAGTGATCACGTGACTAGTATTCTACAGATAAAATAGGGTTAAAGTTGGCATCCCTTTAAGCTTATACTGATCATGATGAAGAACACCTATAATTGCCCTTTCACCACTCGACCATAATGGACTCATCCATATCAATGCATGGTTATATAGTGCTTACTTAACCCGTTCACCACTGTAGACCATAATGGACTCATCCATATCAATGCATCATAATATAGTGCTTACTTAACTCATTAACCCCTGAAGACACATTTGAACTCTACCAATTCAAAGGTTGGAATAGTTCATCGTGAAATTTCAGGGGTGAATGAGTTAAGTCACAAAGGGTTAAAAGAGTTATATAAGGTGTTTGTGTTAGGCTTTTTTTTTCTTTGGACGTGACAAACTGGCAATGCTTCTGAAATGTATGAAACTCCTTGCATGCAAAACAAAGAATGGGGATTACCTGAGTAGGGCTTTTGAAAGACAATTGTGGGTGCTTGGTTGACTTAATTCTGATTTAAATAATTTTTAGAGACTGCATGTCCCTCTGTTGAAAATCTGTTTCTGCTCTGTAACTTCACTATCACAAACTAAATATTCACCAAACTCTATGAGGATATTATATTTCATAGTACATATTTGGTAATTCTTTCAAAGGTCGAGGCCATTCAAGGTCAATTGACCCTAATGCCTACACATGAAATAGTGATGTTTAACAGTGAATTTAGAACTTTAGATATTTTCTGCGGTTTTTATCCAAAATCATTGCAAAAATCACTGAATTTTGCCCACTTGGGCACAGGCCACTGTCAAAAAGAGGTAGAAATCACAGAAATATGTTATACACACAGTTCATGGTAATCATGAAATTTCACCAGATGGATGTATATTCACTAGACAATGGTATTGTGGTTAGGATGTATTTTTGTGTTACTTACTTCTCTGTAATAATTTACATGACAGTCATACTTATGTGCTGTAATTAAACTATATTTCACTTTTTCTTTTGTAGGACTTATTTGGTCATTGCACCTAAAAGAATTCGACCTAATCAGGTTGTACAGGTTTTTGTGACGATTCTAAAATTAGAATACTCCAGAATAAATGTGCGAATATCTATCACACATAAAAAGGTTGAGTATGCCAGCGCTGAGTTGGCATTTGAACAGATTGGCAGTCGTACCATACAGCTACACGTAAGTTCTCTTTTAAATGAAAAATGTTTTACCTTGTGAACATAATTAACAAAAGTTTCTTAATTCTTGCAGATATAATGATTTCAACAGCTGACAAATCAAAAAAGATTAGGCGTGAATTGCACATTAAAATTATACAAGAATTGTTAAATTGTTTTGAGTGAAGATATCTTATCATGTAAAATCATTAATTCTGGCATGAATTTTATGCTTCTCTTCTGAAATAATAGTGATTTTAGGCCAGTTTTGATTTCTGTTGTTAATTTATTCATGTTAATGTTACAATTGATGAACTTCAGAAATATTACCCAGCAATACAAAAGCTGCTTTTAATTGGATATATACATATAATACCATGTCAAATTCATACAGTTAGTGATGAAAATTCAGTGATACCTGGAATTCAGAATTACCAAAGTTTGATGATGTTTTTAGATGCCCCAAAACTCTCAGACTGGAGATTACAAGCTACGAGTGGAGGGAACGATTGACGGAGGGAGCAGTGGAAACGTGTTTGAGAACGAGACTTCGATAGAGTTCTTCCCCAAACAAGCCTCCTTGTTTATACAACTCAGCAAGCCCATCTTCAGACAGGGACAGAAAGGTACGATATTTGTTTTTGTATTATATATTGCATGAAAACAAATCTGTATAACTGCAGATATGTACCATAAATTGGATTTGATACTACATACATAAAGGTCTTTTCTGAAGTTGTTTATGTTTGTAAATATTGAATACCTGAAATAATGCAGAAGTGATTTAAATCATAAAGGAATACCAAGTGATATTTTGATAGCACTGTATTCAGATTTGATAGGTACTATGACTGCAAGAACATATAATTTGGGAAATGTATTGAGAATTTCTGAATTTTATATCAGATTTTTTTTGGGAAGGAAAAAACAACAAATTGATGGTTATATGAATTTTTCTATGTGCTGCTTTTTTCTACAGTGTACTTCCGAGTGGTACCTATACTCCCCAACCTGATGCCCAAATATGGAAGTATGACTATATATGTTAACGTGAGTATTGCTACTTCTTAGACTAAAAATGGGAGTTTAAAGCCATAGTTTAATGCATTATATATGCATTTCATTTAGATTACCAGTACATTTGTTTATAATAGAAGCTTAATTTAACGCCACCAGTAGAAAATTACAGCTATAATGGTATATAATAGTGAGAGAAAGTAATTCTGTAACATTTATAATTTCTATATTATATAAAATATCTTTTGAATAAATAAAAAAAATGTTTTAAATTAAGAGTTTTTTTTCTTAAATTCTAAAGAATGAAAATTAAGTATTTAAACATTGCTGTTTTAGGATCCAACTGGATTTCCAGTGCGTAGATGGCTGGCTGTACAGACAAATGCTGGAGGTCAGTCACTGCAATGCCTTTTTTTGTCAAAATAATTCCAATTCCAAAAAAGTATGAGGTTTCATGATGTTGAACCTGCTTTCATTCATTTTATCTTGAGAAATTGAAGAACACAATCCATATAATTGTTTTTTAGACAATTAAACATACATCATTGTTTTAATTTGGAAACTTTACCTAAACTTTTGATGAAAATCTGGTTCAGAAATTTAGAGTTAAAAAAAAAATGAATATTTTAGATTTGATTTATTTTTGATACGGTTAAATGTTTTTTTTTAGTATATATAGAAATTTAAGATTAAAATTCTCATTTGAGACTTTTTTCCTCCAATGCAATTTTTTTTTTTTTAAACTGCAGTGGTGAACATTTCCATTTTTGTGGCTTGCTAGAAAGACATTGTTAACTTCACAAGATTTCACTCTAAAATATGTGAAAAGAAAACAAATTTTAAATAGCGTTACTTAGTCTGATTATATATTCTCACAGGTATTTTAAGCCAGAGCTTTGAGTTGTCCGACCAACCTAATTATGGAAACTGGTCTATACAGGTGGACGCCTTTGTAAGTATGATAACTTTGATTGGATTGTGATGAAGATAGAGTACTGCAATAGTATAAAACTGGTATAAAAAATTTGATATAAATGATAATTTGATATAAATGCAGTTCTTTAAGAATCCAGAAATGTTATTTATACATAAATCATCAAGACTCATCCGTCTGACTTATATTAACGTAAATCATAATTAATTTTATTATAGCTAAACACTCAGTAAGTTGAACTTTCTAATGGTTTTATTCTTGAAACTTTTGATTGATACAATTTCATATATATCATACTATATATATATACTAAAATTCTTCATTCTAGGGTTTTGTGTATCACAAGCACTTCCTGGTAGAAGAATATTGTAAGTATAACAGCTAAATCATGGAGATTCTTTGTTTTTAACTCTGGTTGTTTACCTCAATAAAGGCATGCACTTGCTTTTCTACATGAAACTTTCAAAGACTAACTCTAAGATAAATATTTTCATGGATTTCATTTATTAAATAATCTCTTTCAAAATGCCATTATAGGAAAAATCTGAAGGGTTGATATATATATATGTAACGGGCAATTAAAATTTACTGTATGATGATCTCAATAGTTTTAATCAATTGACATTTATAATTTTGTGATTGCAACAGGTAAGATATTTAGAGTTTAAATTTGCATTCAATTTATGTATGGACATTTTATCCATTTATTTTAAGAAAGAAAACTAAGTTGTTTATGTGGTTAACTACACAATTGTTTTGCACTGTCTAGGGGACCCCAGGTTTGATGTCAACATGACCGTCAAACCGTACATCATGGACAACCTTGCTACCGTTGGCGGTGTCATCAGTGCTAAGTAATTAACTTAAAAACATTTTACCTACTAGTGGGCTTGAGTTGTTGCAAAGCAAAGAAGAAATTTATGTCATGAAATAAACAAATAATGGAAACTGATGTTAAAAACAAACATTTGGTTAACAAGTCCTTTCAGGAATATTCCATTGTCATCAGTGTAAAAGTTGGTGTTAGAAGAATTATCAAATCAATATATAAAAATGAATAATTTAATGTAAAAGATGAGTTCTGTATTTTAACGTTTGTTAATTGATGTTGGCAGTATCACGACAGGTAAACCTGTGGAAGGGAACGCCACTGTGGTACTCAGTGTCAAGCCTCCACCAGACCCTCGTTATTTAAACACAGATGTTACGAACACCAATCCGGCCCTGAGAATCCCCATCATGATAACTCAAGTGTATGACTATGTAAGTGTTTCTCCCACAACCACTATATGTTTCCTCACTCCTGACTCATTATATAAACCTGCTAGGAGTGTTTGGTTGCCCACAAGTGTGTAACACCCTGGACATGGTTTCATTGGTCAATCTCAAACGATCATTAGTTACTTTTCAAATAGAAAAAAGACACTTGGTAAACCTTGAGTCTTCATAGAATTTGAAAATTAACTAACTTGAGTTAATAGATGATGTAATGACCAGTCGTTACTTGTTGGGGTACCTCTGTATCCCTACTTAGTTTAAAACTCTATACACAACTGTTGGCGCCATGTTTAAGACCTACCTCTGTTGTGCCCAAACAGGATCAAATAGAGTATATTACCATGTAAATGTATCCATTCTATCTAAGTCTTGCAAAAACACTACAACTAGTCCTCCTTTCCTTTCTCATAGTCCAAACAACTCCAACTGTCTTACTGAGGTTCACACGATGCACCTACCTGACAAATACGTTTGCTTTTTTTTAGGTGAAAGGTCCAATTGCATTCAACTTTAATATGGCTGATATATTGGAGCGAGTGCGCCGTTACTGGCCTCAGTACGTAGGCTGGACAGCGTTGACTGATTTTGAGCTTCAGTTCAACGCCTCGGTTTACGATTGGTTCTACAGTATGACTAAGGAGGGTTATGCCAGTACGACCATCTTCAGCTCCCGTACACGGCTTCAGTGGATTGGCGACCAGGTCCGCACATTTAAACCGGACACTGTGATGTCGGTACAGGTGAGGAAATCCACTGATCTCAGAAGAATTGTTAATAATGAATCGGCTGACATACAGTTTATTTATCTCTGTAGCACTTATTTGACTGGACTAATGGCTGCAGAGAAATGTCCAGCTGGTGACCGAGTGGTTCAGATCTGTTTGTGGCCTTAAAAACACTTGTCAATTATTGGGCAGCTCTAGACATGCACCTTGGGTAACCCTAATGAGCGATAATAAGTTTCACTTTATGATAAATTCATCATTATAGAAATTTAAGAATTTTAAATGAATCCATCATTTTTAGGATAGCTTGAGAACAATAAACTGATAATGATTTTGAAATCATTGATAAAATGGATGAGTTGATCTAGCAACAACGTAATCACTGTACCATTGTTTAACAGGTAGCTGTTATGAAATATGATGGAACCCCTGTGACTTCCACCAAATATGTCCGCCTTACTCTGGAGCCACGCTACAGCACTGGAGGAGGAGGAGGCACCCCAGTGTTCACTGGTGCCCAGTTTATGAAGACACCTGTGAAAGGAATTGTTCAGTTCTCCATCCCGGTTGATAAACAGCTTTCTGCCCTCAAGTTAACTGTAAGTCTTCATTGTGCAACAGGTGATTTCATAGTCATGAAAACAGGTACTTTAATGGTAATGAAGTGAAAAACATCAGCTGCAAATCTGAAATAATAGAACATTACTGGTAAGTGTTTTTCCTTTCAAAATGTAGAACTTCCTGACCCTGGGTAAAACATATTGATGGTGAACATAGATAAATAAAAGCATGCAGGTGTTAATTTTCTGAACTTGTCTGTCATCATTGCTTATTCACCATATTAACAGAAAGCTGTTTGCTGAAATAGTTGCTTTCAGATAGATGATAGATTCAATTCCTGTATAAAGATATCTTTATATTAATTGTCATAGAAAGGCCAAATGTGCCCATATCAAGGTTCTGATAACATCTTCTTCTATTGGCCAAAGGATATTTAATATGACAGTCGTAGATACCCATTAGGGAGAGAGTTATTCATAATGGGCTGTAGATATGTTTAACTGAGAATGTATTTGATGTCGTCGCTTCCTGATCCAGACCCTGTTAGAGGTTTTACTGTAGACATGTTTACCAGGTAACTGAGATTGTATTTGATGTCTTTGCTTCCTTATCCAGACCCTTTTCGAGGTCTTCAGGTAGACATGTTTACCAGGTAACTGAGAATGTATTTGATGTTGTCGCTTCCTGATCCAGACCCTGTTAGAGGTCTTACTGTAGACATGTTTACCGGGTAACTCAGAATGTATTTGATGTCTTCTGTCCCTGATCCAGACCCTGTTAGCGGTTTTACTTTAGACATAAGAATATATTGGATATCTTTTGTTCCAGGCCCAGTATGATGGTGACCCGAGTACTGAAATAAAACTCATGGCAACTAAATTCTACTCCCCAAGCAACAGTTTCATCACGGTGTCAACCTCAACCAAAACTCCGAAGATCAATGAGTACATGATTTTCCATGTGAGGACGAGTAACTACATACCTAGGATATATTACCAGGTATGTTAACGTTATCTAATTTTGTGGTCAACGTTGTTATGATTGTAAACTCATTCACCTCTGAAATTTCATAATGAACTATTCCAACCTTTGAATTTGAAGAGTTCAACTGTGTCTTCAGGGGTGAATGAGTTAGTTATAGCAAACAAATGAGGTAACTGGAGATTGACCATAATAATTGTACATTTTTGGGAAATAAAGTAACAAGCATTCATGTCTCTCGAGTAATTGAATATTATTGTGGATCGATTTAACAACAAAGCTAATTACTATTTATATGATGAATGTAGTCACTGTAACTTTATGTTAATATTTTAGATGTTTCACGTTTTAAAATGTGACGTACATTTCTTTCTTTCACAGTTTAACATTAATTTCTAACTAGCTCATATTGCAGCAGATTTTTGGTGTAAGATGGTAGGTTTACACTTCATTAAGTTAATTTTCACATATCCACATCAATACAACCACTATGACCATGCATATAAAAAACAAGATTTCAAAGCTTTGAGATGTTTACCAATCCTCTATTACCAGTACCAGTTGAAAGTGGTTACCAACCCTCAGCTACTGTTACACAGTATGGTTGAAAGTGGTTACCATTAACCCTCAGCTACTGTTACACAGTATGGTTGAAGTGGTTACCATTAACCCTCAGCTACTGTTACACAGTAGGGTTAAAAGTGGTTACCGTTAACCCTCAGCTACTGTTACACAGTATGGTTGAAAGTGGTTACCATTAACCCTCAGCTACTGTTACACAGTATGGTTGAAGTGGTTACCAACCCTCAGCTACTGTTACACAGTATGGTTAGAAGTGGTTACCATTCGTCTGTGTTATGTCTACATTATGGTTGAAAGTTTGTACATATATCTTCAATATTTACCCCCCTTTCAATCCTCTGTGTAGATTGTTGCTGGGAGTAATATCATTGTGGGTGAGGAACTGGAGATGAAGTCCCGTAGGAAGACGTTCTCCATTGCTCTATCTATAGAAATGATACCAACCGCTCGTATAGTTGTCTACTACGTCTCTGGTCAACCTGAGGAGATTGTCATCGACACACTCACCTTTTCTATTGATGGAATGAAATCCAACCAGGTAAGAATATTTGAAACATTGATTTTTTTTCAATAGGAATGGCACATATAGCATAATTAGAAAAGCAACTGTCACATGTACATTCGATACAGACATCCATAAAAACTGTAAAAACATATATGCGATGGAAAGAAACATAAACATAACAGATTTTGTTCCAACAAATCCAATATCTGTCCCGATCTTTTTCTTAATCAGAAGGCAATTTATGTTAAATTAATATGTTAAATCACTAATTTATGATCCTGCAAAAATGTTGAGAGCGGTTCCCTGTATTAAATTTAGATTGTACCGATATAAAAATGTTTACCGTGATGATGTAGGTCCTGTTTTGTGTTGTTACAGGTTGGAGCAAAGATAAACCGTGGGAAGGACTTTACTCGAGACACTGTTGAGATCATGGCGACCTCTGACCCAGGCTCCTATATGGCGTTTGCTGCCATGCCTAGTGATCTGTACGCACGAGGAATTAATGATGGACTCACAGAGTACAACGTAAGTACAAAATCAGGAAACATAAATATTATATGCTACGTTACAATGTACCAATAACTGTAACTGCAATTTTTTGTATTATAAGGACTCTGTCTCATGATGTGGGTGCCAATCATGGTGTCTTTTCATCTGTCTGCACTTTTGTTTTGGGAAACTATCTTATGATCCAGATGTTTAAAAATCTTCAAATTTCACATGGTGAGACACCAATAAGACTTCATAAGTTCCTAATTTCAATGTCACTTACTGAAAAGAGAAATGTATATTTATTCTAAATGCATTGCATTGCTTTTTCTGATCTGGCGTTTTGGTTGTAAATGTTTTTTGATGGATATTGTACCATAATGTGAATATTGCTATTTATATATGTACTCACCTTTTCTATTGATGGAATGAAATCCAACCAGGATGAAATCGTAAGCAGGATTACGATATCCAAGATGGACAGAAGTCAATGTCACTCCTTATTGGCTAACATTTACGGCTTTATCTTTTGTTTCTTTTGTACAATTCTGTTCATCCTTGATGGCTATTGGTACTAGGTGTATAATCTACGATGTGAATACAGATATTATCCAGATCCCCCGACTTCTGGTTATCTGGGACATTGACGGGCTATACGTTTTGTTCATTTTTGTCAGAGTTTTTTCATCCTTGGTGGTAAACGGTACTTGTCAGTTACATGTAATGCCTTATAAAAACCCACATTCTACAATCCAAGATGGTCTTCGTCACAGTGGTTTCTGAATTGCAATTATGGGAAATAGATATATATGGTCTGACACTCAACAGGTCCTCCCTGACTAGTTGATACTCTGGTTAAGATCATTTCTCCTTTATTTAATTTTTACCTATATTTTCCGTCATTCAAAAGTGTTACAAATGTGTTATCAACTGTTCCTTGTGTTACAGTTGGTAGATGAGCTGAACAGCTATGACGCCCCTGCCCGTGGCAGCTACCAGCATCTGTGGCGACTCAGTGAAACAGAGTACCAGTACACATTCTTCCTGGCTCAGGGCTACGGTATTGACAGCTTCACCACCTTCAGGGTATGTCTCTACGGGTACTTAAAGTACAGGAACAGACGATTCTCTAATAACTACTACCAACCTCTTAAACCAGTGGATAATTAGTAAAAATTGTCTTTAACCTTTGTTTGAAAAAAAAAATGTAAATATTTGACCAAGAAACTTCTCATGTTGAAGATTTTGAAGTTTTGAATTTGTTATCTTGCAGGACTCTGGTCTACTTGCCCTTTCTGATGTCACCATCACAAGAGTACCAAGTAAGTTCTGGGATTCCAAACAAAGTAGTTGATACATACAAGAGTTCACTGAATTGGTTATTGTAGTAAGTACCCATGGCAATCAGAAATTCAGTTAGAGGTCTGTACAGTCAGGAAATCCCATGACAAATCATGACTTGAAAGCACATAACATATGTATGTTAATCCAAGGTCAAGTTGACTGATCAAATGTCAAATAATTAAAACGCTTGTTCAGGTCATAACTTCTGAACATTTATTTATTTCATTAAAGCGGCAAATTGTTGAGAATAATATTTCATTTATTGAATGTATGTGTTATCTGCACTGCCAATTATGTTTTCTTGCTATCCCCATATTCATAGTCCATTCCAAATGTCCAGTTTGACCATTTCATTTGTACGGAAAAGCCCCATCAAATATAGCATCAAAAGAGTCACATGGCGATTTTGCTAAACAAATTAAGCAGTATTGTGGAAGAGCTAAACTCATTGTCAAGGAGCGAATGGTTCTGTCATAAGTTACAACTTCAATCATTATTTTGGATCAAGTTATACTGATGTTACAAACTTGATCAGTGCTGTAAGCTCACAGCTTCTAATGAAAACTTTCTCCCCTTTAGATCAGTGTGAATTTGAGCCAGAAACCATTCCCTGTTTTGACGGAACATGTTACCACAAAAACAAAACGTGTGACAACACCTTTGACTGTCCCAGTGATTGGTCAGACGAGGAGAACTGTAAGTGATATTTATCGGAGCAGCCATGGAACGAATTAAACCAAATGATACAGTTTTACAGAGGCATTTTATTGAACATTTTATTGAAAATTAAGTGTCGTGAAAACATTCTCAACACATTACTAATTGTTTCATTATCTTGAAGATTTTTCATTCTCATAATTTCATTTCTGATATATAAAAAGAGTTAATAATAATTAGGAATGATTTAATAAAAATGAAACTAAATTTTCGGGGCTTTAAATTGTATTTCTATTGTATAAAAAGCTGTGATTCTAAATGTTTAAGAATTAACTTATACTAGAAATTGTCATAGACAATTTACAGGTTTTTCATGATTGCTAGCTACACTTTGACATTTAAAGACAGTTTAGGGTATACAATATGCAAGAACACATGTATCTACCAATTTTGGTCAACATTTGACTGGCTCAAAATTTATTTGAAGTCGTTGAAAATGTCCCAACCAATCAGATGCCATGATGGCCATCTTGGATTTTCGGATCGGCATGAAATGTAACAACACTTGCCTGAGACCTCGTAAGGATCAATTGTACCAAGTAAGGAGTCAGTTGGTGCAGCCGTACTTGACAAGAAGTCGAAAATGTCCCAGCCAATCAGAGTCAAGGGCAGCCATCTTGGATGTTCAAATTGGCACAAAATGTAACAACACTTATGCGGGGCCTCATAGGGATAAATTGTAATAAGAAAGGAGCCTATCGGTGCAGCCATTCTTGAGAAGTAAAAAAATGTCTCAGCCAATTAGATGGCAGGGCGGTCATTTTGGGTTTTTAGATTGGCATGAAATGTAACAAAACTTATTTGGGACCTAATAAGGATCAACTATATTAAGTTAGTAGTCAATTGGTGCAGCTATTCTCCAGAAGAAGTCAAAGAGGTCTCAGCCAATCGGAGACAAGGGAGGCCATCTTGAATTTTCGGATCAGCAACTTATGTAGCAGCACTTGTTCAGGACCTCATAAGGATCAATTGTAATAAGTTAGGAGTCTATAGTTGCAGCCATTCTTGAGAAAAAGTCAAAAATATCTCAGCCAATCAGATGTTAGGGTGGCCATCTTGGATTTTTGAATAGGCATGGAATGTAACAACACTTATTTGGGATATCATAGGGAACAATTGTACCAAATGAGGAGCCGTTCTTGAGATGAAGTCGAAAATGTCCCAGCCAAACAGATGTCGGGGTAGCCATCTTGGATTTTTCGGATAGGCACAAAATGTAACAACACTTGTTTGGGGATCTCATAGGGATCAATTGTACCATGAAAGGAGTCAACTGATGCAACCGTTCTTGAGAGGAAGTCATAAATGTCCCAGCCAATCAAATGCCATAAGTTTTTAGACATTTGACCTTTATGACCTTGATAGTCAATCAAGGTCAACCATTTTCTTCAAACCTGATAGCTTACTATCTCAGGATCTCACATATCAAATAACAAGACCTTTAGGAACTTAAGAATTATTTTTTTTCAAATTTGTTACCAAATATAGTGCATTTCAACTTTGACCCTACCGAAAACCGACAGTTGACATTTTTTACTAAAATAATATGAGGAAAAAAGTTTGCCGTTGCATATCATTATCTCTTGGCGTGTACACTTATGTTATAGTGGATACATAATGTGGTGGTAAATCTGTTTCAGGTCCAAAGGAAGACCCTCGTTTCAACAACAAGACAACAAATATGATCAACAGAGTGAGTCGTGTACTGAGATTCTACGAGGACAGCAGTTGGGCCTGGAAGGAACACTTCACAAAGTATAGCATACATTTACTTCTTGTTGACACAAAGTATAGCATACATTTACTTCTTGTTGACACAAAGTATAGCATATATTGACTTCTTGTTGACACAAAGTATAGCATACATTTACTTCTTGTTGACACAAAGTATAGCATACATTTACTTCTTGTTGACACAAAGTATAGCATACATTGACTTCTGTTGACACAAAGAATAGCATACATTTACTTCTTGTTGACACAAAGTATAGCATACATTTACTTCTTATTGACACAAAGTATAGCATACATTTACTTCTTTTTGAGGGTTTTCTGCTGTATGCTGAATAAGACACTGACTCTGACTCTGTTTCTTTGTAGATTATAAATGTATCTTTAAAACAATATACCACACAAATTCTGCCTTAGATAAAATTATCATATATTATGCTGTTGAGTTTAAAGTGGGGAGGGAATTCTACAATTATATACTTCCTTTGCAAAATAATTTCTACCGTTTAAAAATGTTTTCTTTTTGATAAAACTTCTGTTGCATGGATTTTTTCCCTTACAGACCCGATGGAGAGGTAGATTTTCGTGTCAATGTTCCTAAATACCCACTAAACTGGGTTATCAATGGAATATCAATGAGTCGAAGTCTTGGCCTGGGATTGATGTCGAAACCTCTGCGGGTAAGATACCATTACAGATATTGATTTACAACTTCTATACTAGATGGGCAACAGAAAACAGATGTTGTCTTTGATGAGGATTTTAAATCACTGCATGATGATAAACAATGCAAGATAGTTATCAACAAGCTAATTTATTTAAAGACCATTAAAACAACTGAGACATAAGATTAAGGTATTTGATATAGGGTTTTAACAGTCAGAGACTCTGACATCAGGTATATAAATAAATCGGGGATGGGAGGGGGTAAATTACTTGAGTGTTACATTTACAGTCACACCAAGTGTCAAAATTTACACGCTTGATTTTTTATAGTACAGCAACGAATGTTTGCCGCCTTGTTATGAACGAGTTGTTGTAAGGATGTTAAAGCCAGATGTTTTAAAAGAAAACAATATTGTACCAAATATATAAAAATATAACAAAGTCCAAAATGTCCTGATATTAAAATTTCATAGCGCATATTTAATTGTGAGATTTTGTTCATTACCGTTTGTGTTTGACAGTATGATGCTACACGCTACATGTACATCATTGTGGAGTCAGCGACACATATCATCAGAGGGGAGCAGATCGGTGTCCGAGTAACAGTGTTTAACTACTGGTACTCCTCCGACTTCATCGAGGTATGTTTATACTGTGTCGCAGAAATAAGTTGGAAATTTTGTACACTAATATTCAAAGAAGATTTTTTTATAACAACTTTATAATAAGGTGACATAATTTCTTTGCATTTCTAAAAGATGAAGTTAAACAATACCGCAATCTAGGAGCCTCACTTTGATGATAGTGTTAAATTTGAATTTCTCAGGTGCTGGTTACTATGGAAGGATCCCCGGACTACGACTCTGTCCTGGTGGGAGAGGAGGGTTTTGTGACATCATACAGTCCTACACGACACAACGGTGACCATCAAACCATCGTCTTTGTAAGACTTTTATGTTGCAGCTTTTTGTCTGTTGGTTTATATCTATAAAGAATAAAATAGTAAGAAAAATAACCTTTCACTGTCAGTTGGGTGTAAAATTAACTGATAGATGATTTTCATTCTGTCTCTACGTCTCTCTCTTCTATGTCCCTTTCTCTATCCCTGTACTTCATCGACCATTCCCTTCTGATTGCAGCTGGAACCTGGGGAGTCTAAGGACATTCTGATGCCCATTGTCCCCAACATGGTCCAGGGTAACTTCACGTACACTGTCAGTGCCTGGTGCTTCCTGGAGCGGGACTCTGTAACCAAACAGGTCTACGTCAAGGTTAGTATCTTATACGTCAAGGTCAGTATCTAATACGTCAAGGTCAGTATCTAATACATCAAGGTCAGTATCTAACACGTCAAGGTCAGTATCTTATACATCAAGGTAAGTATCAAATACGTCAAGGTCAGTATCAAATACATCAAGGTCAGTATCTAATACGTCAAGGTCAGTACCTAATACGTCAAGGTCAGTATCTAAGTCAAGGTTATCTAAGAGGGAAATATGTAATATCTTTACTATAATAATAATAGTAGTATATTCACCTTAACAATAGGAAATTCATATAAGACTACTGTTTTAGGTTAAAGGTACATGTTATTGTGTTTTAAGAAATGCGGAATGTGTTGACCTTCAATCATCTTACCTTGAGATTTACACCGTTATGTGTGTATTGTTACAGAGTGATGGTGTGTTGAACTACTACCACACACCATGTCTGATAGACTTGATCACCTACGGCTCCATCATCATCCCAGACCTCAAGGTCAACGTGTCCGACCAGTTCATCACCCCAGAACAGCGTTACCATAACTACGTCCCTGGCTCAGGTGTAGGTCACCTCAGCTTGTTTGGTAAGATAATTAAGTACTTTTTGGCAAACTTTGAGCCTGATTGGATTGATATTCAATTTGGATTCAATAGTTTTATTGCATTGCAATCAAGCTGTTTCATTTATAAATTGTGTTTTATATAAATGTTTAAATTTTGTGTACATACAATGTATAACATTTTTTATGCAGACTGATAAGATAATCAACAGGGTAAATACAGTTAATGGTGACTAGTACTTATTACTAAATTTTATATACATATATTATTTTACTGTAAAAATGGATACATGTTTGATGAATCTTTCAGTGTGGAATGGAAAAATGTGGGTCTTTGCATTAAAAGGAGTTTACTTTGTACTATAATAGGTGATGTTGTGACCCCTGGCTTCTTCGTGGATTACCCGACAGCAGAAGACATCATGTATCGCCCATATGGAGCAGGAGAAATGAACATGTTTAATTTTGCTTTTAATCTCATCACACTAAAATTCAAGAAAGCTAACCAACAGTTGCCCAATCACATTCTAAAGCGGACCCTTTCCTACATGAACATTGGTAAGTAAGGTACCACATTTAAAAATTACTATCTCACGTTTGGATTTTGATGGGGAAATATTCACTCGGTGATTACACAATTTTATACAACACAACAAGAATACATGTATTCTTACGTAAATTTAATGATTCCAAATTTCACCACTTTACCGTTATATTCGTGCTTTTGAATGACCAGGTCATTAAATTAATTGTATAAAATATTGGCCATTACTTAATCAAATATTAAAAGGTACTTACTTAATTATATTTACTGTACATTATTTGCTGCCTCATTTTACAATTTTTATTATTTTACCATAATAGTTGTCTAATATGCATGGTTTGAAACTACCCTCAATTTTTCCTCTCCACTATTAATAGGTTTGCAGAGACAGTTGAGCTACATGAAAGAAGATGGATCCTTCAAGATGTTTAGGGATGACAACCGATCAAGCACCTGGTAAGTCTCTATATGGGGAATTCAATGTTTACATCATACTGTATATTCCATAGGTTTTGCACTCTCATGTTCTCTGCAGCCCTGGAATCATCCTTGACACTCCAGGGCTCTCTGCAGCCCTGGGATGATATTGAAGGCCATGTACATGCCACCTTGTGGCTGATACAAGAAGATCCTTTGATCCTTTGATGTTCATCAAATTGATAGTGCTGAAGTGTAAAAGTAACTTATTAACCCTTTCACCCCTCTGTAACTGCAGTAGACTCTACTTTGCATTGATATGGATAAGTACATTATGGTCGTACAGTGGTGAAAGGGTAAATGAATGTTCAATGAAACATTCAAAAGAAAAAAGAAAATAGAAAAAACATTCACTAAATAAAACGAAACATTTAATGCCACTGTAAATTTCAAAATGTAACAGAGAGTACAATGTTTGGCTGATGTAAGGTGGAATTTTCATGAGAAGTGCAGGTAGAAAAAATCAATCCGTCCAAATGAAAGAATGCATCTATTGTGTTTTTTTTACCCTGTAGGCTTACCGCCTTTGTGGCGCAGACCCTTCACGAGGCCAGATTTGGTGAATGGGAGAAAGATCTGTTTATCAAGTTGGAGCTCATCAACAAAATTGTGGTGTGGATCTGTGAGAAACAGAATAATGTCACTGGAGAGTTCTACGATGATCAAGTTCCTGTGTATGATAGAAACTATGTAAGTTAATCGTCATGGGCCGCTTTCGTTTATCACGATTCAAAAGGTTGAACCAGTTGGACCATTGTTGTTCGTTTATGAATTAAATTCGTTCTGTCATAATCTGATGCTGTTTTCAGGCGAGCTTTGACAAAGCCTTGCAAGGCCTGCATTTACATTTGTAGGTCCGCTAGTATTTATACCTGAAAATGTTACATTTAAAAACAGACGAACAGGTTGTTCCGCATAAATGAACAGGCCCCTACATGATGATATGATTGAACAGTCAATTTGTTACTGCCATCAAGTGCAGAGCATTACATCATTTACAGTTAAATTCCTACAGATTAGAGAGTGTCTGTGTTATTTCTGTGATTGCAGTATTAAACGTTCGTAACATATAGATTATTTCTCCATGTGAATGACATTGTTGAATTTCCTGCTTTCAGGCATCCAGAAGTGATATGATGCAAGCCAAACTGACCGGCCACCCTGTACCTCTAACGGCTTATGTCCTGATAGCACTCTATAAAATAACAGATGTTTCACAGGTCAGTCAATCAGTTTGTTCTTGTTGTTGTAACAAGACTGTAAGCACCATCAATATTTAAAGTAGATCACTTGATAGTCTTCGTAACGTTTACGAACCATCTTTGACCTGTGACAATGAATCGTTTGTACTATCTCAGCTCAAATATTTCAGAAAACATCTATTAAGAAATAAAAACAATGGTTGCTGTAAATTCTGGATTGGGTTTTTAAATATGTCGATATTTTAACCTTGTTATTCATTTATTACAACAGGAAGCACAAAGTTGTATAGAGAAAGCCAGACAGAGGGCATCGGAGTACTTGTCTACTAGAACCTCGGAGATAGAGGCTAGTAATGAGATCTTCCACATGGCCATCACAGCCTATGCTCTCTCCCTCAGTCAGCAGAGAAGTCGCACCATATTTGATAAGTTGTGGGCCAAGCGAAAGAAAGGTTAGCTATTTTTAATTGTACTTTTCAACCTTTCTATTTGAAGAATAGGAGCGCTCATGTAATCAGCCCAGAGTTAGTACTGGTGTTGCCACTTTGAGGAGGCTGAGGTATATTTATGTGAGCCCTGCTTTGTGTCTTTATTTCACATGTTAACACAACTGCTAGGATAATAGTTTAACACACTTTTTCTATTTTATCTGGATACAGCAATACTGTCAAAAAGATGCGAAATTTCTTATCGGGTAGATTTTTGTTTTAATTACTAAAGTAAACAAAGATATATATCAACAAAAAGCATGTTTATTACTACATTGTGTAGTTTTTAAAAATCTCATTTTTGAAATATGACATTTTTATGAACAGCTGAAGAATTCTACTTCGCGGACGATGTTGTGCGTGAGAATCCATCAGACTTTGTGAACACTGTGCGTTACCTCAAGCCCAGAGTGGAGTTGATGAATGACGCACATGCAGTACAGAGCACGGCCTATGCTCTCATGGCGCATATCAATCATTTTGGGTCTTCGTCAGGGGATTACAAAATACAGCGCGACTCCATGATGCGATGGCTGCAGACCATGCGTAACTATATCGGAGCTTTTGCTTCATCACAGGTACATTGGAGATCAGTTTTTATGGTTCAATGAATTCTTATCCCGGCCATTACTGTTGATTTACTGATTTGACGCAACATCGTTAGATTGTATTTTACACCAAGCAGTGGACGATGGTTTGCATTGTTTAGACATTATCCCTAGCATCCTTCCTGCTGCCTGAATATCTGTCTTGATTTTTTTGATACAATTACTTGACTAATGCTAGCTATCTCCAACTTGATGAATAATTTTCCTGTCTAAGGTGCTTATTTAGGATTACTTTTTAGGTCAAAATGTCACTTTTTACTATTTATAAATACAAAATAATTTTTCAGTGTATCTAACTTGGGGGAGGGGGAG